AAGTATTGGAGGCAGAATTGGAAGTGTTAGCCATTGTATTACACTGCCTTTCATTAACATGTTATAATGCATATGAAATTACAAATGCACACATATAGCATTCATAGAGAAACTCAGTTTGAGTCGTTTTGAAAAGAAGATTAGACGCAGAGTCAAAGTTTAGCTGTCATCCTTCCTTTCTATCCAAGACAGCTGTGCATGATAGGCACAATACCTAATGTATCTGATTCTGTGTCTTCATTTGGAAAATGGGAGTTACTCTGAGGCTTAAATAAGATTATGCTTGTAGAACTGCTTTTTTTTTAGCGGTTCAGGGGAGTGCCAGGGAGAGGGCATCCAGCCCCTCTAACCAAAGCAGCAGACACACGCACTCTCTACCCTCAGATAACGCTCCTTTGGCATATTTTGGGGTACAGTGGCTTGACTCCACTGTAACTCTTACACCATTTTCTCTCCAGTTTCTCTCATTTTTAACACTTTTGAATGCCAGCCTTGCCGAGCTTGGCATTATCAAGAGGCTGTGGTTGTAGGTACAAGTTTATGAGATGCGAGGATATGTTTGAACTTAGGCACTGTTTTAGCAAAATGTTTTCTGTTTCAGTCAGCACAGGAGAAAAAAAAAAGCTTTTAACATTCCCATTAAGAAGACTCACAGGCTCCTCACACATCAAATAACTCTCACAAAACAACATTTTAATGATTTAAGTGTAAATGAATCAGAAACACATGGACGACATTTCTCTTGGAATACACAAGGGTTTTAAAACTGAAGGAGAAAGAACTTGGCAAAATGCACAGTGTGCTGGGAAGAGGGCCCCTGCCCAGTAAAGACATTCCCTCAATTCATGCTGCCACTGAGTTTGCCCTCTCCTAATTTAGGGCCTATACTGGGAACTGCAGCCATTTGTTCTGGGCACAGAGGGAAGAGCTTGGGCGAGAAAGCCATCAGCTTTTTCTTGCAAAGTGACACAGAACAATTAGGCCTCCTGGAATAATGTTCTAGCCATGTTTCTTCAAGGCTGCCAATGTTCAGCGGAAAGCATTTGAGATGTGTTCTACGCCAAAGTTCTGCCAATATATAGCAGAGCTGATATGTACGCTTCCCTGGGAGTTAGCCAGGGCTCAGAGGAAATCTGCATAAAAACAGGAACTACATGGCTCAGGAATGATCTGCGTGTGATTCAGGGCAGTTTTCCCCTGGGTTAGACTACATATTGTTGGATGCTTTTGATAAATCTCCCTGAGGTGTCACTAACAAATCATGGGTCATGACAGGTGAGAGGAATGGAAGGGACATTAGGCTGAAATAAGAGAACTGAGCTCAGTGTCTATAGGCCAACTTGTGTGCGCCCTTGGGTAAGTCACTTACTTTCTTAAGGGTGAGGGTTGAGAGGTGGAGGGGTGGGGATCGCTTTGCACAGCTGTGAAATCGGGGGCTGGACTCAATTGAGATCATAGTGCTTATACATGTGGATATGAAGACTATGGCATGATGTTCTCGGGAGGGGTTAGGTAGTTTGCTAGGCCCAAATGAGACTCAAAGAGTCTAAAGTAGCTCTAATAATCTTGACATTTGCTTTTTCTGTGCTCATCAGGTTATCATTACTCAGAATTTAATCATAGATATTCAGAAAAAGTAATATTTAAAAGGGTTCAACTAGTTTTTTTAAAAGTTTGGCAAAAAATGGTTAAAAAAATGCATACAAGTACCTGATGTGGTTTAGAATTCTGAAAGTGTAGAATGACTGAGGTGGGTTCAGCACCCACGAGTTATAGTCCTACAGTCTGGGAAAGGGATCAGAGAGATGCTTACTAAAGATAAATGCTGCAACATTCCTACCATTAGAACAGGCTTTGATTTACACGTTCTACCAAAGTATTTATTTTATGCAACTTCTGAGCTGGAGTTTCTGGAATTCAATGAATGCGTTAAAAATGTAAAGAATTTGGGCAACGGCTTTTTGTTGGCAAGGGCCGAAATCCAGGCTTCCTATAGACTAAATGAGAAACTGATAAATAGCTCCAAAGATTCTAGCTTAGAACTAAAATTTGAGTTCTTCAGCACATTGACTGACAGCATGCAGAAAGTCGTGGCTTCTGAGCCTACCGACAGAATAACGGGGAAAATATTTTTAAAAGATGACAGTCCTTAAGCTTCATCCCAGGAGATTCAAACTCAATGTACCTGCGGGTAGGGCTCCTGAATCTGTAATCTGAAAATCTCCCCAGCATGATTTTGCCACTTTTGGTGTGAATAACATAAGGATACATTTGATAATTGATGGCTTCTTAGATTTGGTAACATATTCTTTGTATATGCCAGATACATGTATGTATGTATGTATGTGTATATATATATATATATATATATATATACACACATATGCATATATATATATACATATGTATATATAATTGCATGTAGTATTCACATCTTTACAAATCTTTAGTATCTTTGTATTAGTATTAGATCTTTACACATTTGTAGTATTCGGATCTTTACAATGTCTTTATGCAAGACATTGAGGTTCAGAGAAACTAAACCTGCCTGTGCCTTGTAGGTCAATGATACACGTCTAAAGCCCAGGGCCCCCTGACCCCAAATGCAAGGCTCTTTCTCCTCATCTGCAGATTTCTTGTACTTCTTGTGGACTTTGAACATTGATGTGCCATGCTGTCACGTGATTTCAAGATTTTAGAGAAGACAAAAAATGGCTTCTATTTAAAAAATAAGTGATTAGGCTCTGTTACGGGCTGAATTGCTTTCCCCTCAAAAGCGTATGCTGAAGTTCTAACCCTCAGTATTTCAGAAGGTAACTGTGTTTGGAAAAAGGGTTTTTAAGGAGGTGAATAAGTTAAAATTGGATCCTTAGAATGGGCCCTAATCCAATACAGTTGGTGTCTTTATAAGAGGAGATTAAAACACAGACACACCCAGAGGGTGTGAAGACATAGGGTGAAGACAGCCATCTGCAGGCCAAGGATACAAGCTGCAAAAGAAACCAAATCTGCCAACATCTTGATCTTGGCCAGGTTTTTTTATAGGCCCAAAAGACACAACCCCGAACTCCATAATCCCAAATATTGAAATTCCAAGAAATCAAAACCTCTAAAGTCTAAATCCCTCACATCTAAAATCTCCAAAATCAAAATCACAGGATAGTTGCATCACATTAGTTGGAACTATTTACTTTGTTACTCTTTATGCAGAAGAAAATGGATTTCAATTGAATCCTCAAACCATAAATTTGGAATTAGGTGTGATCGAGGTTTCTAAAAGTAAACTTCAAGGTGTTACCAATAAAGTTTGTTTTTTTCCATTCTGCCCAATGCATCTGGCAGAAAATTCAGAGTGGACTGGTCACATGATACCGCAATGATGAAAACATCAGTTTAAAAATGCGTCATTTGCCTGTCTCGACATTCATTCGAGCTAATGGCATTCTGGGAACTTTTAATGAATTAAAGCCACATTTACCTGAAAAAGCCAGCGAAGTTACTGACTGGTTCAAAAATAATTATGTGCATGATGGGCAATATTGTTACAGTTCAATCACTGGTATTGCTTCCACCAGACTTGGGGTCTGTACATGTGTGCGTATGGAATGGATTTCCACAGACCCACAACAACACAGAAGCATGGCACAGAAGATGGGAACACTTAATGGGGAATGCTCATGTGGGTATATATTAAATCATAGAAGAATTTTAAAA